AAGTGAGCTTTTATTTTTCAGATCGTATCAGCATTGCTCATCAATTCTTTCTCTGCCATGGTGAATTGGATTTCTCAAGTTTTACTACACAACAATGCCTCCCCTCTTCAGGGACAGTCCCATCAACCTTATCTTCTGATTTCCATAAATGTCACTTGCTGTGGGTTTTAGTGCACTGGATTGCAAGGTTGGTGGTTCAAGTTCACTGGCCACTTCTTGAAACTTATACAGGGTTGCTGTGGGCCAGAACCAACGCGATGGCACTTTAACAATAACAATTCCTGATTTCTCTGTTTTTCCAAACAGTCTGGCAGAGTCTGAGTGTGTCCCACATAGGTATACTTTCTGCCATGCCTTGGGTGGCATCCTTCAAGACGGGTTTCTAACTTTCACAGTTACCTTCCTACAAGTGATAACCCACTTAACAATCTACATCGTATTACAAAAACATGAACTGCATTATGTTCCAGACTCAGAGCTCTCCAGTGACAAACACTCTTAAACAGCACCAGTGGGTCAAAGAAGAAATAAAAAGGGAAAAGACTTTGAGACAAACAAAAAATAGAACATACCAAAACTTACAAAATATAGCATAAAATAAAGATCTCGAATCAATAGCTTCACTTAGTTTACTCTCGTCTTAGTTTCATGAGGAACAAAAACTCAGAGGCAGCAAAATGAAAGAAAAAAATATACAGCATGGTGTCTCTAAGCACTGGACTACGAACCCCAAGGTCAGCAATTTGAGCCCACCAGCTGCTCCCTGCTGCCGCAAAGATTTTTGCAGCTTCAGAACCCCTACTACAGTGAGAACTGACTCAACGGCACTTAACAGCAGAGCTAGGTGAGAGCTAGAACAGAAAACCCATGAAAATCACCCAAACTGACAATATTTAACTACTAGACTCAAAATAAAAAATTAAATTACCCAAATTGGAAATGAAGGTGGGGACGTTACTACTATATAACAATTTATGCCAAAAATTAATCATTTAATGCAATGGACAAATTTTCAGAAACACATAAAATATCAAAATGAACTCTGGAGGCCTATAATAGAGTTTGAATAAGTTATTTACAAAGCCCAGGGCCAAATGTTCCATTGATCAATTCTATTAAATATTTAAGGAATTAGTATGTATTAACTTTTTCTTTGAGACCATTGTTAGCGCCACACCAGGGCTACAGTATCAGGCTATGAGATACTACACTGGACTGCAAGATCGCTTTGAACCACAAAGTCGGTGGTTCACTCACCAACCACTTCTTGGAAACCCTATTCAGGGTTGCTGTGAGTCAAAACTGACTCAACCGACTCAACGGCACTTAACCACAACAAAATCCATACTAGAATAATAGAAGAAAACAACAAATGGTAATGAAAATGTACAAACCATAAAAAAAAAAAAAAAAAATTCTAGCAAACCAAATACAGCAGTATATCTGAAAGAAGTATACACCGTGACTATGGGAAGGTCAACTTAAGAAAGGCGATGTCCTATTATACCACATTAGTGAAGGAAAGGGGAGGGGAAGCACATACTCATCTCAGCTGATACAGGAAAAGCATTTGAGAAAATTAAACATACTTTCATAATTAAACAAAGCACTCAATACACTAGACATGGAAGAGAACTTCCTCAACATTGCAAAGAACACCTATGAAGAACCCACAGCAAGCACAGAACTCAATGGTTAAAGACTGAAAGCTTTCCTTATGAGATCAAGAACACAAAGATGCACACTTTGACCACTGCTATTCAATAAGGAGCTCTGGTAGCGTAGTGGTTACGAATCGGGCTG